TCCAGAAGCGGCCTGAGGAAGATAAAGTCCAAGGCTGAATTTCACAGAACTCCCTGCACCGAAAATCAACACAACCCCACCGCTCCTCCTGACAGCACAAAATGTTCTTACGTAGAAAAGTCTGGATTAAATTTTCCTGGTAAAAGGGATTCAAGAGCACAGCAGAGTTCACTGTGCCCTGCTGCCTTCCTGGAAGACACTTTTTTTTTTTTAAAAAAAAATAATTCCCAAAGCCTCCAAGAGAGAGAAACTGCATGGAAATCTCCCTCCTTTGGAAAATCAATGGAAATATTCCCAGATTTTGTGCATGCACCTGGCAGGAGCTGGACTTGACCGGCCTGGAAGGGAGATGGACACGAAGAGTGGTCCCAGTGCTCCCAGTCTGGGCTCCTCCATCCTCCTGGGGTATCCTTGGTTTCCCCTACAAGGCTGGAATATTCCAGGCCTGAACTTGCCAGGAGTTAAATTGCCTGAAAAAGGTGATCCAGGCTCCTGAGAGACAGAAAAGTGGTGAAATCCCAACATGTGAAGAATTCCTCATGCCAGGACAGCTGTGGTGGACATCAGAGCAGCTGGCCAGGCACGGGGGCTTCTGTCCAGGGAATTCCAGACAATTTAACCGGCGGGATGAACCTCACGGTGGCCAAACTCCCTCGGGAGCAAAGCAGCCTCTGCTCATGGAATCGTGGAACTGGTAAAGTTGGGAAAGACCTCTGAGAGCATCGAGTTCAACCATCAACTCAGCACCACCATGGCCTAGGGAACCACTTCCAGAGGATTCTGAACAATTCCAAGGATTCCACCACTTCCAAAGCTCTCCGAAGCTTAATCCCCCCACCAAGTTTTCCATTTTCCTGGTGCAACCTCCAATCCACAGCAAGGACTTTCCCTGGCAGAGCTGGGTTTTCCAGGATGGTTTAATTTAACTGCTGGAATTCTGAACAATTCCAGGGATTCCACCACTTCCAAAGCTCTCCAAAGCTTAATCCCCCCACCAAGTTTTCCATTTTCCTGGTGGAGCTGCACAGAGGTGCAACCTCCAATCCACAGCAAGGATTCTCTCTGGCACAGCTGGGTTTTCCAGGATGGTTTAATTGCTGGAATGGTTTGTTGTCCTGGTCAAATCACCTCTGTCAGACCAAACATTTCCTAAATCCTAAGAAATTCCAAGAGCTGAAACCCGCAGGGGATGAGGACTGGGTTTATGGCCTGGGCACAAAAAGTCATCATAAAACCTCACAAAAATGACGCCAGGCTCATGAAAAAACAACCAGGACGCAATAAAACTCCATAAAAACCAACCCAGACGCTCTGCGAAACACCAAACACACCAAGAAATTACAGGGGGAGAGGATTTAAATGAACACTGAGCTGGAACACTCTGTGGAATCACAGGATGGGTTGGATGGTAAATCCCAAACCATTCCTGCCATGCCAGGGACACTTCCCACTGTCCCAGGGTGCTCCAAACCCCGTCCAGCCCAGTCTTGGACATTTTCAGGGATGAAAATCCTGAAAAATCAGTTGCTACAACCCTCAGCTTTTCATGGGTACCATCATCGTCATCATGCACTTCCTCTTTCACCCAAAAAAAAAAAAAAATTAAAAAATAAAAATAAAATTTAAAAAATCGTTCCCAGTTTTACCACCAGCACGAAAATTTCAATTAAAAAGATGAACAATTCTCTCACCTACTTCCCCAGTGTTTGGGAATTAAAAGTTAACTGTGAGAGGCTTTGAAAAGGAGCAATTGTGATGTGGATGAAGGAGACGAAAGGCTAAAGTGAGGATGGACATGAGTTCACGTTGGGAATCCTCTCAGGATGTGGGAAGAGGGTCTAAAACCGTGCTCAGAGACCAGCAAGGCTTAGAAATAAAACCACAACAGCCAGGCCCTGCCTAAGGGATTAAAAATCCCAAATTTTGGAAATAACAGTTCAGTGAAGGAGAAAAAAAAACCAACAACACAAATAATAAAAATATGAAGCAGAACTCCCAAACTTGAACAGAGAAAACATCTCCCCACCCAATGAAAATCATCTGTAGCTACAAGAAAGCTTAGACTTGGTAACCTCAAACACAGGAAGAATTTTGAGCTGAATTATTTCTGTCCCTTAATTATTATTTACACAAAAAAGGTCCCGAGCACCTCAGTCACAGCCAGGTCTGTCCTGAGCAAGATGATTTAGAGCCCTTTTTTTTGGGTATTTTAAGACATACCCAGTTACACCCCTTTTTATAGGCAATTTACACCCCTTTTTTTGGTACTTTAAACAGAGAGGAGATGAGTGATTAACACGTTTCAACTCGCTCCCAACCTCCTGTACAGAGGGAGTAAAATTACAGATGTACAAAATGTAAAAAAAAATAAAAAGGGAGGGGGAAGAGGGTAAAAGGGGAAAAGTGAAGGATGACAGGAAAAAAAAGGGGGGGGAAAGGGAGAATGAAGGGGAACTTCATTAATGAGCTCAGAGGTCTTTTAATTGGTTCTGTGATTCTGGGAAAAAAAATTAGGTGAAGGGGGAAAAGAAAACAAGGATAAGAGGGGAAGAATACGGGGCATGAAGAGGAACTTCATCGAGTTTGGACTCATTTATCTCTGAGGCCTTTTACAACCTGATTATGAGGGGGGAAGGGGAGGTGAAGGGAAAAAAAATGGGGTGTGAAGGGAAAAAAAAAAAGGGGGTGAAGTGAAAAAAAAAAGGGGGGTGAAGGAGGAAAAAAAAAAAAGAGGGTGAAGGGAAAAAAAGAGGGTGAAGGAAAAAAAAGAAGGGGCGAAGGGACCGAAAGGGGATGTGAAGAGTAAGAAAATAGGGGTGAAAGCAAAAAAGTGGGGGTGAAAGCAAAAA